CATCCTCCTCCTCCTCCTCCTCCTCCTCCTCCTCTCTCCCTCCTCCTCCTCCTCCTCCTCCTCCTCCTCCTCCTCCATCTTCCTCTCTCCTCCTCCTCCTCATCCTCCATCCTCCTCCTCCTCCTCCTCCTCCTCCTCCTCTCCTCCTCCTCCTCCTCCTCCTCCTCCTCCTCCCTCCTCCTCCTCCTCCTCCTCCTCCTCTCCTCCTCCTCCTCCCTCCTCCTCCTCCTCCTCCTCCTCCTCCTCCTCCTCCTCCTCCTCCTCCTCCTCCTCCCCTCCTCCCCTCCTCCTCCTCCTCCTCCTCCTCCTCTCCTCCTCCTCCTCCTCCTCCTCCTCCTCCTCCTCCTCCTCCTCCTCCGTCCTCCTCCCTGAGGATCGCGCGCCCCGCCCCCGAGAGGGCGGGCCGCGGCCGCCCGATGGCGGGCCCGTCGCCGGCAGGGCGGCGGGGCCCCCCCCGCCTCTGGGGGCGCTGCGGGCGCGGGGGCCCACAGAGGCCGGGGGCCGGGCGAGACCAAAGCACCGCTGCCACCAGCTGGGGTTAAGTCGGGCCTGTCCCCCCACAGGGGGATCTTCGACGAAGAATAGAAGATACCCCAAACCTGCCCCCAAAACTACACCAAAAATGCCCCCCAAAAGTGCCCCCCCACAGGGGGATCTTCGACGAAGAATAAAAGATACCCCAATAATAAAAGATACCCCCCCAAAAAAGCACCGCTGCCACCAGCTGGGGTTAATAGGGGGCAAACAAACCTACCTCGCTTTGGACCACCCTCGCTTCCAAGAGATACCGAGCGATGCCAAACTGCGGCCTGTACTGGTCAGGCCGCTTGACGAGGAGGCGCGTAGTATGACTTGGTTCTGCCTGGAAGCGAAAGCGGGGGAGGTAATTTACGCTCTGAGTTAAGTCGGGCCTGTCCCCCTACAGGGGGATCTTCGACGAAGACTGCAAGATACCCCAAAAATGCACCCAAAAGATAAAAACAAAGGATCAAAACATAGTCCCCAGACTGTTTTGGGATTCTTTTTTGATTTGTTTGGAATATTTTTAATTCGCCGGCCCAACGGGCCAGAGGCGCGCTAAGATCTCCGGTAACTGGTTAACAATTCTCTAGTTCGCGCGCGCGGGGCGGCCCCTGGGGGTCCCCGGACAAAAAGTACCCCGACCGACCCCCGGGCGATCCCCGGGAGACTCCCCCAGAGCGCTCCAGGAGCGCTCCAGGAGCGCACCAACAGGGCTCCGAGACGTCCCCGAGAGCCCCAAGAAAGGCCAAAGGCCCCCAAGAGGCCCCCAAGATGGTACACGAGGGGTCCGACATGCCACAAGATCGCTCCAAGACGCCCAAGATAGCCCCCAGACGCCCCAAGAGGCCTCCGAGAGCACTCCCAAGAGGGCCCCCGGAGGCAAAATTAATTGTTTTTTCCGTAGGTTTTTGAAAGATTTTGGAGCTTCCACCTTTTCGGCTTCCCGACGCCCCAAGACGGCCCAAGAGGCCCCCAAGCTCGCCCCAAGAGGCCCCCAAGAGGGCCCCGAGATGGCCCAAGAGGGCTCGAAGACGGCCCAAGAAGCCTCCAAGACGGTCCAAGAGGGCCACAAGAACGCCCCCAAAGGGGCCCCAGAGAGGGAACACGAAACAACATTTCGAGCCCTCGGCCCTAAGAAGCCCCTACGAGGCCCCTACGAGGCCCCTATGAGGCCCCAAGAGGCCCCCACGAGGCCCTCAGGAGGCTCCCAAGAGTCCCCCAAGCGGCCCCAGGAGGCCCCCCAAATGCCCCCCCGAGCGCCCCAGGAGTCCCCCAAGCGGCCCCAGGAACCCCCAAAGCGCCGCATTGTCACCAGGCCCTCGGGCAAACGGCAGACATGAGACTGTATGGGCCGGCGGAATGAGCGAAGCGATTAAATTTTTCGTAGACAATCCCTCTGTAGGGGGACAGGCCCGACTTAAAGCTAGGGGGGTGGCCGCTCCCTCCCCTCGGGCCAGTGGCACCTCTCGGGAGCGGCCAAGAGGGGGGTGTCCAAGGGGGGGGGGGTGCAAATCATGACCGGCGGCGTGTGCGCGGCCCAGCGGGGGGGCCAGGGACCTCATGAAACAAGAAGAGGCGCCATGAAATCTGGGGAAATATCATGGCGCCCCGCCATGTTATCCACCCCCCTCTTTGCCGCCCCCGAACCTCCTTCCGGGCACTTTCCGGAGGCATGGCCAGAACGAGGCGCCACCAGCTCGAGAGGGGGGGGCAGCCACCCCCTTGGCTGGTGGCAGTGGTACTTTTGTCTCTGGCGATGGGGGCTGGCGGCGGATGCTAAGTCCGAGCGGAGTACTGCCATGCGTCGGAGGAGGGAAAGGTACCCATACCGCTACTTTTGTTATCGTTTTTGCTCTTTTTGGGCCTCGTGGAAGGCCCTCGCCACGGCTGGATTCGCTCCGAAATCCTAGTCAGAACGCACCCAGGGAGAGGTCCAGAGTGTAGCGGTATGGGTTCATCTTTGTCTCCCCACATACGGAGTGCTCGGTGTCCAGCTGGGCTTGCTCCGTCTGGACTCTTCTGATAGGAGGCGAAGTCCATACGGAGTAAGTCCATCACGGAGTGCTGGGTCTCCGTCTTGGCTCTTTCCGCCTGGACTTAGCCTCTCCTCAGGCTGGTCGTGGACGGAAAATTCCCCGAGGCCCGGGCGCTGCTTTTTTTCACAGCGGCCGTTGTCGCCCTTTTTCGGGCCGGGGGGCCCTCACAGATGGATGCGACTCGGGACATGGCGCAGAAAGATGGGGTCTAGATGTCCATTCGTGATTTCTCGCGATGTTGGATTTTTTTCGCGGCCGTTCGATCGGGCTGGGCCTTTGGGCCGCGACACCCCGAGGACACGGGGCGTTTTTTCGCGGGTGCCACGCGCGGAACGTTTCCGTGCGACCGCGTGTCCGCAGCATCGCGCTCCAAAATCTGGACACCGAGGGCGCGGATACGAACATGTTCGCCGCTCGTGACGGCGTCCTCGCCCCCCGGGCTGGCGGGCCCAGAGGCGGCAGTCAGCGCTGGCGCCGTCCAGGGCTGGCGGGGCTGGGCAGGGGCAAGTGGCGGCAGCTGGCGTTGGCATCGGCTGGTGCTGGTGGGGGCAGGTGTTGGCCCGGAGGCAGCCTGCCTTGGTGCCACCTGGGGCCAGCGAAGCTGGGCAGGGGCCTCTCCGTAATTTTTGCTGCAGGGTGACAGGGCTGGCAGCGGCCGAAGGCGGCAACCCAAAGCAGTGCTGGTGGTACCGGCTAGCATAGGTCATGGTAATGAATGAACGCGCGTTCTTAACACAAATTCGCCGGCCCAACGGGCCAGGGCGTGCTAAGATCTCCGGTAACTGATTAACAGTATTAACAGTATTTCTAGTTCGCGCGCGCGGGGCGGCCCCTGGGGGTCCCCCGGCGAAAAGTACCCCGACCAACGCCCGGTCGCCGCCCGACCGCCGCCCGACCGCCGCCCGACCAAGTCTACTCAGAGATGGTTTTCCTTCTGGGTGCGGCCTCTCAGGCTCCCCAGAGCGCGCTCAGAGTGCCCCAAGAGGCCCCCAAGACTGCCCAAGAGGCCCCCGAGACGCCCAAAGAGCGCTCGAAGACGCCGAAGATGACCCCAAGACGGCCCAAAAGGCCCCCAAGACAGCCCAAGAGGCCTCCAAGACGCCCCAAGAGCCTTCCAAGAGGCCTCCGAAGAGAGCCCCAAGAGGCCAAAATCGTTGATTTTCATTGTTTTTTTCGATGTTTTTTGTGTTCTGGCTTTTTCGGCTTCCGGACGCTCCAAGACGGCCCAAGAGGCCCCCAAGACCGCTCCAAGACGGCCCACGAAGCTCCCAAGACGGCGCCGAAACGACCCAAGAGAGCCCTCAAGACGGCCCAAGTGCCGCCCAAGACGGACCAAGAGGCCCCAAGACGGGCCCAAGAGGGACTCAGGAGGGATACCGAGAACTCAAAAATGGAGCCCTCCGTCCCAGAAGGCGCCCAGGAGGTCCCAAAGAGGCCCCAAGAGGCCTCCAAGAGGCCCCAAGATGTCGCCAAGAGGCCCCAGGAGACTCCCAGGAGGCCCAAAAGAAGCCCCAGAAGGCTTCAAACATGTCTCCCAGGCGCCCCCGAACGGCCTCTCAACAGACCCCAAGAGGCCCCCCAAAGAAGCATCTTGACGACGACTCTATTTCGCCCCATCGAGAGACGACCCCCAGGGAACTGCTTCACCATCAAAACTCCCCACGCAACGCGTCCGAACGACACCCGCCCCCAAGAGCGCAACATGGGCAACGAACACACAGACAAAAACCAGCGATGCCATATCACGGGCCGGCGGAATGAGCGAAGCGATTCAATAATTGAAAACACGATGATTTACTAAAGCGAATCGCAACAACCGGTTTGCTAAATTCAAACACGGATGTTCTAAATCTGGGACCGTTTTTCTAAATCTTGATCTTATCACTGCCATGACCTAAGTGGCTCGATCTCGACCCCTGCCCAACGCAAGCAGCAGCAGCTCCCGCTGCTGCGCGAGCGGCCTCGCATGGCGCTCGCCGGCGGACGCTCGCCGCTTTGGCCGCTGCCGCTCGCCGTCCTCGTGGTCGTGTGCGCTCGTCGCAGCCGCCGCCGCTGGTCCTCGCCGCCGCCGCCGCCGCCGTCATCCGTCGTCGTCGTCGTCGTCGTCGTCGTCGTCGTCGTCGTCGTCATCGTCGTCGTCGTCGTCATCGTCGTCATCGTCGTCATCGTCGTTATCGTCGTTATCGTGGTCGTGGTCGTGGTGGTCGTCGTCGTCGGAAGCACTCGCTGCTGCCAGCGTCGTCGCCACTGCTCGTCGTCGGAGTCGGATCTGGGGTAGGGCTCCTGCTGGGTAGTGGCTGCAAGACCACTCTTCTGCTGCTCAAAGCAGTCACGCAGACCTGCAGGCAAAATGGTCTCGAATCCTAAATCTACGGCCGCCGCCCAAGCGGCAACGGCCGTGTGCCCGACATTCTGCAAAGACGTGTAGGGGCCTCGCGGGCCCTACACGCCGTTCTGCTCCAATGCCGCCATCACTCCCTCCGGGTCGTCCTGGTCTGCCACCCGCTCTGCCGGCCGCTCTGTGGCCACCTCCACGACGGCGGAGGATCCTGCGGAGCCCTCCGAGCCCTGGTCTGCGACTGCCACATTAGACTCCGCTGCCCGCCCTGTGGCCACGTCCACGACAGCGGGGGATCCCGCGGAGTCCTCCGAGCCCTGGTTCGCGACGGCCGGATCAGACTCCGCTGCCCGCTCTGTGGCCACCTCCACGACGGTGGAGGATCCCGCGGAGCGCCCGCCGAGGAGCTGCTGTTGCTCGGTCTCCGCGGCAGCCTCCTTGCGGTCGTGGTCGTACGGGCCGCACATCGCGCAGTTCGCGCAGTGCGAGTATGTGCACTTGACGTGCCAGTACTGGTGGCTGATGAAGCACCACTGTGGGCAGTTCGGGTCCTCCGAGCCCTGGTCCGCGACAGCCACATTAGACTCTGCTGCCCTCTCTGTGGCCACCTCCGCGACGGCGGAGGATCCCGCGGAGCCCTCCGAGCCCTGGTCCGCGACGGCCACATTAGACTCGGCTGCCCGCTCTGTGACCACCTCCTCAACGGCGGAAGATCCCCCGGAGCGCCCGCCGAGGAGCTGCTGCTGCTCGGTCTCCGCGGCAGCCTCCTTGCGGTCGTGGTCGTACGGGCCGCACATCGCGCAGTTCGCGCAGTGCGAGTACGTGCACTTGACGTGCCAGTACTGGTGGCTGATGAAGCACCATTGCGGGCAGTTCGGGTCCTCGGAGCCATGGTCCGCGACAGCCACATTAGACGCTGCTGCCCTCTTTGTGGCCACCTCCGCGACGGCGGAGGATCCCGCGGAGCCCTCCGAGCCCTGGTCCGCGGCGGCCACATTAGACTCGGCTGCCCGCTCTGTGACCACCTCCTCAACGGCGGAAGATCCCCCGGAGCGCCCGCCGAGGAGCTGCTGCTGCTCGGTCTCCAGGGCAGCCTCCTTGCGGTCGTGGTCGTACGGGCCGCACATCGGGCAGTTCGCGCAGTGCGAGTACGTGCACTTGACGTGCCAATACTGGTGGCTGATGAAGCACCACTGTGGGCAATTCGGGTTCTCCGAGCCCTGGTCCGCGAAAGCCACATTAGACTCTGCGGCCCGTCCCGTGGCCACCTCCGCGACGGCGGAGGATTCCGCGGAACCCTCCGAACCCTGGTCCGCGGCGGCCACATTAGACTCGGCTGCCCGCTCTGTGACCACCTCCTCAACGGTGGAGGATCCGGCGGAGCGCCCGCCGAGGAGCTGCTGCTGCTCGGTCTCCAGGGCAGCCTCCTTGCGGTCGTGGTCGTACGGGCCGCACATCGGGCAGTTCGCGCAGTGCGAGTATGTGCACTTGACGTGCCAATACTGGTGGCTGATGAAGCACCACTGTGGGCAATTCGGGTCCTCCGAGCCCTGGTCCGCGACAGCCACATTAGACTCTGCGGCCCGCTCCGTGGCCATGTCCGCGACGGCGGAGGATCCCGCGGAACCCTCCGAACCCTGGTCCGCGACGGCCACATTAGACTCGGCTGCCCGCTCTGTGACCACCTCCTCAACGGCGGAGGATACGGCGGAGCGCCCGCCGAGGAGCTGCTGCTGCTCGGTCTCCAGGGCAGTCTCCTTGCGGTCGTGGTCGTACGGGCCGCACATCGCGCAGTTCGCGCAGTGCGAGTACGTGCACTTGACGTGCCAATACTGGTGGCTGATGAAGCACCACTGTGGGCAATTCGGGTCCTCCGAGCCCTGGTCCGCGACAGCCACATTAGACGCTGCTGCCCTCTTTGTGGCCACCTCCACGACGGCGGAGGATCCCGCGGAACCCTCCGAACCCTGGTCCGCGACGGCCGAATCAGACTCCGCTGCCCGCCCTGTGGCCACGTCCACGACGGCGGGGGATCCCGCGGAGCCTTCCGAGCCCTGGTTCGCGACGGCCGAATCAGACTCCGCTGCCCGCTCTGTCGCCGCCTCCACAACGGCGGAGGATGCGGCGGAGCGCCCGCCGAGGAGCTGCTGCTGCTCGGTCTCCAGGGCAGCCTCCTTGCGGTCGTGGTCGTACGGGCCGCACATCGCGCAGTTCGCGCAGTGCGAGTACGTGCACTTGACGTGCCAGTACTGGTGGCTGATGAAGCACCATTGCGGGCAGTTCGGGTCCTCGACGCCCTGGCCCGCGACGCCAATGTGAGACTCTGACTCTGCCGCCCGCTCCGTGGCCACCTTTTTGGGCGCCCGAAATGGGTACGGAAAACATGGGTACAATGCCCGACAACAAATGTTGTCCCAAACCAACAGCGGCCGCTGTTGGGCAGGCGGCCTTCTGTCTCAAGTGGACACGGGCCGCGGCGACACCGACAGCGAGTCCTGCTCAAAATGGGCACGAAACGCTTTTGAGCATTATGCCCATCCTTTCCGTCCCCATTTCGGTCGTGCCGAACCTTGGACGCGGCGCGCGCCTCCGCGGCGCGGCTGACGAGGACCTGGCGCGGCCCGGGATCCGCCTCGAGGGCGGTCTGCAAGGACGAGGCGATGGGCAGCCACAGCAGTACGACGATGGCACCGCGGAAGGACGCCATTTGGAATCGTTGAACGCCCAGGAACAATCCGCCAGCGCGCTTGCAGCGGTATGTGTGTATGTGTGTGTGTGTGATTATATGTGTGTATGTGTGTGTGTGTGTGTGTGTGTGTGTGTGTACGGCCCTCTCGCTCCTTGCGAGGCAGTGCTTGGGACCCCCCGACGCATCGAGCCCAAGATGCGTTCGCTTGTATGACCCAGTCCCTGCTTTTTGGGCCTTCTGAGCAGAAAGGCAGAACATGTGTCTAGATACGAAATTCGGGGAGGGACCCTCAGTGGACTTCCCCCCCAGCGGGGCCCCCCCACCCCTCTACCCCCTCCCTTGGCGCCCGCTCGAGCGCGGTGGCGGAATCACGCGGCAGCGCCACTGGATAAATATACGGTGCTCAGGTGATGGTCTGCTTGAGCCCAAAGTGTTCCGGAGACGGAACATACTGAGGACGAAGGAGATAACTTAAGACGCCCGAAGTGGGTAGTGCAAACATGGGTACGATGCCCAACAGCAAATTATATCCAAAACCGACAGCGGTCGCTGTTGGGCAGCTGGCCTTCTCTCAAATGGACAACATCCGCGGGGACACCGACAACGATTGCTGTTCAAAATGGGCAGGAAATGCCGTTGGCCGTCATTCCCATAGCTTCCGCACTCATATCGATTCTCCCGAATGATGAGGGATGAAGGAAGAATGCAAGACATAGTATGAGGAGGACACGAAAGATGAATGAATCGTGCGGCCTCCTAAGTGCGTCTTGGGGGTATCCGGGGGGCCTTTTGGAGGCCTCTGAGGGCATGCGTGCAGCATGCTGGCTGTCCTGTGGGCGCTCTTGGGGTGGGGGGTTCCGAATGGCAATTCGGATCCCCCCTCTTGGGGCACTCTTGGGCCCTTGTCTTGCGGGCCTGTATGCAATCATCAATCGACACCGTTTTCGTGGGTTCTCGTCGAGGAGGTGTGTTGGCTTCTTCGGCTGGCCCACAGGTCGGGTCCCTGGGGCTATCTCAAAGAGAGCGCGTTTCACGGGCGCTTGCCTTGGGAACATTCGGCGGCGCGTTTCGAACCTGGGGGTGGGCCCCCACGTGGGACCCGCCGTTCGTGCGATTACAACCAAGTGTTTGAGGGTTTCCTCGCGATTGGAACGCTATGGACTACCAGTTTACTCATCATGCATGTTCGTCGTCTTCGTTTTTCTTCATCTTCCCGTTCCTTCTTATCCTTCTTCTCCCCAGGTGTTTTTGTTACGCCTTTACACAAGGATTCCTTCTGTGGCAACCTTACACAAGGGTTCTAAGTGTGGATGATCTGCAATGGCCCCCACACTTAGAATCCGTTTGTGCAGAGGGATTCCTTTCGTGGCGGCCTTACAATACGATTTGGATTGTGGGGGATCTGCACTGGCGGCACCGTGGGCCGAGGAAAGCTAGAGATGACAAGAAGAACAAATATGGCAAACATGAAACAGCATGTGTTTTCACAAGGGAAAAATCTAGGACAACGTGTGATTGTCGCTATTTCTAGGGCGCAGATAACCGAACACTTAGAATCCTTTTTGTAGCGGCCTTTACCAGTGGATACCTTGCGTGGCGACCTTAAAGAAGGATATTCTGTGTAGAGGATCTGCAATGGCCCCCACACTTGAAATCCTTTTGTCGCAGCCTGTAAAACGGATTCCTTTTCGTGCCGGCCTTACAAAAATGTTTTAAATGTGGGGGATCTGCACTGGCGGCACCGTGGGCCCAGGAAAACTAAAGAGGAAAACGGGAAAACAGGAACAAATGAAAAAACATGTGGTTCACAGTGGAAAACAGGACACAGCTAGGAAAACAGGTGTCTGTCGATGTTTTTTGGGTGCAGATAAACCTAACAGTTAAAAACCTGTGTGGCGGCCTTTTACCAAAAGGACCCCTTTTGTGGCGACCTTACAGAAGGATTTTTATTGTGGTTGATCTGCCATGGCCCCCACAACTCGAATCCTTTTGTAGCAGCCTTCTAATACGGTTCTAAGTGTGGGGGATCTGCAGTGGCGGCACCGTGGGCCCAAGAAAGGCAAAGAGGAACACCGGAAAAACAGGACAGACATGACACAACCTATATTGCCACATGGGGAAACAGGAAACAGCTAGGAAAACATGTGTCTGCCGCTACGTTTAAAGTGCATATGGCCTAAAAGAATTTGGATTGCGATGGGTCTCCAATAGTCCTCACAGTTAGAATCCTTTCGTAGCAACCTGTACAAACATGGATTCTTGATGTGGCGGCCTTACACAAACATGTTAATTGTCGGTGTCTGCAGTGGCGGCACCGTGGGCCCAGGAAAGCTTAAGAGGAAAACGAGACAAACACGAAAAATATGGAACCACACATGGGAAAACAAGAGAAAACTAGGAACACCGATGACTGTTGCTATTTTCAGGGTGCAGAAGCTCTGCATTAAAAATCAGTTTGTAGCGGACTTTACAAAAGGATCCGTTGTTGCGGCGACCTTACTCGCAAAGGGTTTTAATTGTGATGGTTCTGCAATGCTCCCCACACTTGGACTCCTTGCTTAGCAGCCTGTCCAAAGGGATTCCTGTTGTGGCGGCCTTACACAAAAAGGTTTTACTTGTAGGGGATCTGCAGTGGCGGCACCGTGGGCCAAGGAAAGCTAAAGAGGAAAACAGGACCACAACAGGACAAAAATGACAAACACATCTGTTTCATTGGGGGAAGCAGGAACCAACTAGGCAAACATGTGACTGACGCTATTTCCAAGGTGCAGATGATCTACACGTAAAATGATATTATAGCGGCCTTTACAAAAAGGATCCGTTGTTGCGGTGACCGTACAACAGGATTATAAGTGTGATGGGTCTGCAGTGCCCCCCGAACTTCGAATCCTTAGTAGCAGCCTGTGCACAAGGGATTCCTGTTGTGGCGGCCGTGCAACAAGGTTTTAAGTGTAGGGGATCTGCAGTAGCGGCACCGTGGGCCCAGGAAAGCTAAAGAGGAAAACAGGACAACAGCAGGAAACACATTAAACAACTTGTGCTGTCACAAGGGGAAAAAGAAAAAAAACTAGTAAAACATTTGGCTCCTGTTATTTTCAAGGTCCAGACGATCTACATTTAAAATAATGTTATGTCGGCCTTTACAAAAAAAGGACCCCTGTTTGTGGCGACCTTGCAAAAAATGTATGTGTGATGGATTTGCGACGCCCCTTACAACGATCATCCTTTTGTAGCAGCCTGTACAAAAGGAATTCCTTGTGTGGCGGCCTTACAAGAAGGTTTGTAGTCTGGGGGATTTGCAGTGGCGGCACCGTGGGCCCAGGAAAGCTAGATGGGGAAAACAAGGAAAGCATGACAAACATTAAGGAGCTTGTGTTTTCACATGGGAAAACAGGAAAACAATTAGGACAACTTGTGAATGTCGCCATTTTTAGGGTGAGCTTTCCTGGGCCCACGGTGCCGCCACCGCAGATCCCCTACACTTAAAACCTTCTTGTAAGGCCGCCAAAACAGGAATCCCTTTGGACAGGCTGCTACACAAGGAGTCCAAGTGTGGGGGGCCACTGCAGATCCATCATACTTAAAATCTGTTGTAAGGTCGCCACGAAAGAGATCCTTTTGTAAAGGCGTTACACAGATTTTACTCCATCGGCCATTTACCTTCAAAATAACGGCAGTCACAGGTTTTCATGTTGTTGTCCTGCTTTCCCTGGTGAAGCACATGTTTTTTCATGTCTTTTTGGTTATTCTTGTTTTCCTCTCCAGCTTTCCTTGGCCCACGGTGCTGCCGCTGCAGATTCCCTAAACTTACATCTTCATGAAAGGCCACCACAAACAAATCCCAATTTACAGGCTGCTACCACAGGATTTCCATAGTGGAAGCCATTGCAGATCCTCCACAAGTGAAATCCTTTTGTAAGGGCGCCGCACAAGGAATCCTTTTTGTAAAGGCGTTGCAAAAAAACCTGGGGAGAAGAACAAATAACGGGAAAATGAAAAAGAACGAGGACGACGAACATGCATGATGAGTCAACTGATGAATCATACCGTTCCAATCGCCAGGGAATCGATCAAAAAGGCATGGTTGTAATCATACAAACAGCGGGTCGGACTGGGCACCCCCCCAAAACTTGGCGCCGTCGATCAGAACCAGGGGGACTCCCCTCCCCCCGAACCCGCCCCTCTCCCGAACCCTCCCGCGGCTTCGGCTGTGGCGCCGGCGCTGGCGGCCGCCAGCAGCGCCGACGTCGGGGACGCAGCGACGATGACCAGAGGCAGCCCAAGGGGGGGGGAGTCCCACCCCCCCCCCCCTTCCAAGACGCGCGAGGCCGAAGGGGAACAGAGGGGGACGGACGGCCGGGGAAGACACGGGACGGCAGGCGGAGGGCGAGCACCTGCCCACTTCCCCAGGGGCAGCTTCGCCCTGGATCCATGATTCGGCGGTGGACAAACCTCCCTTTAGTGAACCTCCCCTTAGTGAAAACGGCCTCGGACCGAATTCGACGGACCTGGGCCCGCAAAAAAAGCGGCCGCGACGCCCTCTCGCGAACCGAACACGGCCAACTCCTGAATCGACGTGTCAGGGTAGGAGGTCTATGCACCTCCGAAGTATTGCTGGCCCTGGGGCCCGATGATCGGCGACACGCGGGAACGACCCCAGGCAGGAGGGACCTGTGGTGCGCGGCTTTGCGGGGGCGCGCGCGAGGGTGGAGGACGAGGAGGAGGAGGACGAGGACGAGGAGGAGGAGGAGGAGGAGGAGGAGGAGGAGGAGGAGGACGAGGAAGGTGAGGAGGGGCCCCCAGCAAGGGCAAGCCGCAGGCCGCCGCCAGGCGCGCAGGCCGCCGCTGCCGCTTCGCGCTCAGCGAGGGGGGGGGCCCCAGCGATGGGGGGACCCCACCGGGCCCGCACCAAACAGGTCGCTCCGGCGAAGAGTCACCCCTGCGCCCACTCGAGGTGACGGGCCCCATCAGAGGCCGCGAGCAGCGGAAAACGCTGGGATTGAAGACGAACGAAAACG